GAACTTTCCGTTTAATAACGTAAGAAAACTAATTTTCTTTATCAATTTGGTGAACCACTTTAATCCATTTTCCACGAGAGGAAAGCGATGGAATAAAGTTTCATTTGTCTTTTCCCAATACAATTTAGATTAATTTAATTAGACTTTACCATTTTGTTTATCATGTGTCGTGAACTTTTAAATTGTAGATGACTTAAAAATAGTTTAGAGATGTAATTTTACATCATCGGTAAAAGAAATAGAACTTTTTAAATTTAATAAATACCTAATTGAAACTAAACCTAGATTATGGAAACTGAGTCCATATACTACAACCCAATTATTTATTAAATGAAATAATACAACAAATTTCTTAAATTTATTGATATTTTTTTCAAGAGTATTTATTAACRTCGATATTTTCGCCGAGATCACTTGGATAAAAAATTTTATGATTTTAATTCTAATATTATTGGAAACCAAAATATTCCGACATTTTTAATTTAAGGTTCAGTGTTCCATCTTAGAATACTTTAGGGTTATTAATGGAGGGCAGAAGAGAACAAGGTAGAAGCTTTAAAGGCGTGGGCTTTAGGGTGGAATTTTGGAGACAAAATATAACAGCTATTTAATTTCAATCCACTTTTTCGTTTGCAAATTTTGAGCCACAAAACCATAATCTCTATTTTCTTTAATTTGCTAGCCCTATGTTGACCCCTTCTGATGCCCTTTGAAAGTTTAATTTATTCTCTCTCCCACCACATTTTTTTGGGTCAAAAAGTTTATGTAAGACCACCAAGAAAGCAATGGTTTGTAATATTTTGATTAAATTATAAATCTAGATCTTATATATTTAATCTTTGAATTTCAAAAAGTTTCAATTATATCTTTCTAACTTTGATTTCTTCATCTATTTAGTATTTGTTAGTATTTGTTGTTACCATTAACATTCATTAGTTTATTTTAGCTATTTGCATTACATGCTAATACAATTAAAAATTTATTGGGCTGTAAATATAGCACCAAAATCGATTAGAAAAAGTAAGGAAGAACTTAGTATATAAGTTACATGCCTTAAAAATTAATTTCTACGTGTTTCTCATACCTTAAAAATTAATTTCTATGTGTTTTTTAGCATCAAATATTGTAGGATAGGACCACTATCCTATGAGATTAGTCGAGGTGTGTACAAGCTGACCCAAATACTCATGCTTATTAAAAAAAAAAAAATTAAGTATATATAAGTTAATGGATGACAATATCTTCATTAGTCATTAATATAAAGCCTGTTGAGTAGAATTCAATACCAAAATCGCATGGGTTTTAAGATTAAAAATGGACAATATCTATAACTTAAAAAATATAGAGACTTAATTATAACTTATAAATGCATAATAAATATTAAAAAGTAAATATAACATAAAAAATTGAATATCTAATAAAAAGATTCTTGTTACTCAGAATAAGAAATAGTTATCAAATATATTTTTTATTTTCTTTTCCGTAAGGAAAAAAATTACCAAACAAAACTCTACTTTTATTTCTTAAAAAAAAAACAAAGGAACAAGAAACGAGAAGCATAAATAATTTGTTATCCAACGAATCCTAACGTAATCTCAGAACTCAATATAAGTAATTCATGTACACAGCCAAATACGTTGTTTATCCCAAATCATATGGACGTCAAATGCCCCAAAGGAAAAAAAAATCAATCAAGTAGAGCAATTAACAGTCAAGGAAAGCCAATTTGTACAACACAAGTTGTCAAAGTGGTAAGCATACAATATATATTTATATCTCACTGTCTTTTTCTATAAGATATCTCATTGTCATTTACTGTCATTTGGTGTCGACCAACCTTTGGTAATAACAGGTTTTATGAAATACAAAACATAAACAGTGTCTTTTTTTTTAATATTTATTTTTGGGAGAGTAGCTCATTATTAGGACTTGTGTTTATGATATTGTGTTCAAATAGGAACTATATTTCGTGTTTTGTTATTGGAAACTGATTTCAGTATATTTTCATATTGTTAAATTATATTTTTATCATGATTTGTTTTTAGTAATAATTTAGAATAAATTTATGTTACAATTGGATAAATAAATAATATTAATTAAAATAGAATAATAGTATAATAAAATTAAAATATTAATGGAATATAAAAAATTTGAAAATTTATTCCGCTAGATTTTTTTTTTCCTTTTTAGTACATATGGGGATATATATATATGTCAATTACTGCTGAGCTAAGATTTATATTGATAATTATTAGATCATTCGATCACCCAACATGAACATAGTGGTTAAAATACTTATTTCCGACTATTGCTAAAACGAAATGGGAAGCCCATTTCTTATTATTAGGTTGATTGGTTTGGAACCTTAGGCGAAACCCAAAGAAGAAGACAATATTGAGCGTTTCTTATCACAACTTTTTTTCATAGCAGAAGTATTTACTGGCCAAAAAACGTGAGCGTCCCTACGCTAGTGGCTGATCGTTTCCACCGAAAGATGCTTAACCATGAGATNGATGGCTACATTAGTAATATGCCAAAAATAACTCATGAAATGATTTATGAAATACTAATGCATGCTGTGATATGCATAAACTGTTTTTGTCAACTGTTTATAATTAGAGTCTAGTCCTCTATTTATGTATCACTCTCTCCGTTTTCTTCCTCGGCTTAAAGAGGGAAAAAGCTGAGCTGGGCCTATGTCGATAAGCCCAATTAGCCCATTTGTAAATCCCCAAGTTACAAAATAATATGAGAAGGGGATACTCTAGATTTAAAATAGGATAATCACCAATTTTATTTTATTATGTATGTTTTGAAAAGAGTAAAATTTCAAAATTTCAAAATTTCAAAATTGCTAAATTGCAAAAGAAATATATAAAGTAGTACGAAAAATTTAAGGTAAACTATTTTTAGAGAAATGATAGTGACAAATATATATATATATATATTTGCTAGGACTATACTCATTCCATTATTTTGCTTTTCAACATTAATGACGGAATGTTAATATCAATGTATAGTTAATAGATAAGACATTTATTTATTCATCTGAGGTTAGAAGTTTAAATTCCCTCGTTCACTTTGTTGACATAAACATTTCATTAAAAATATTATCAATTTCACTTTTTTTTAGTTCAATAATTGATTATTGAAAAATAGAATCATCGACTTTAGAGATTATAATGAGTATTTTATCGTCAACTTGAGACAAACTTATCCTTGAAAATATAGATAAATGATGTTTTCTAATAAAGAAAAACAGAGATTTAATCTAAAAGAAAGAAGTAGATGTTTTTAATGGCTAAATTAATTAAAGCTAGGCTATGGATAAAAGTTGTTATTGATTGCCACTAAAATAGTGGGCTGGTTTATCGGTTTGTAATTTCTGTACTAACTCATTGGGATAAATTATATTATTGATTAAATTTCTACTCATTAATTAGGAGATAATTAATATCTCTTAAATATGCCAAAAATCATAATCTTTTTAACCCCATTCTAGAAAACATTGTTTTGTTCAAAGGAAAAAAAAAGGAAAAAATCTTGAAAGCATTGTGGAATAATTGAGTCAAAACTACACGTATTTCAAATCTTCTTCCTGTTTTCGAAACCCTAATCTCAATCTCCGAAAAATTAAAATTTAATTTTGATGAGTTGACTAATTGATGTGATGCCCTTTTCGAGGGTTTGTTCCCCCACCCACTTGTTTTCCCTCAAATTAATGCTTCAATAGCTACAACTTCCAATTCATGGGTTGTGCTTCTTACTTCAATTTTGGGAAATGAAATTCCCAAAAACAAAAAACTTGTAAAGTCAATATTAGAAAGAAGTCATGGAGGATGTTTATTTCATATTTTTAATACACTCAATTTCAATCTGGGTGGACTTTTAATAAGGTGGACATAAATCACTGCTCAACTTAATTAATTATAGTATGTAAACCTTCGAAGTTGACATAAATCACTGCTGAACTTTATATGGCGTTCTTTCCATCGTGGGTAAAAGTGCTAGCGACAAACTTCCCGAACCATTGACTGACCTTTGTTTAGGAGAGAGAAGTTTATTCATTCAATGAAGTTTTCTTTGTTTGATCTAATAAGGAGGTGTTAGAAATAAGCCACCATCCGACGAAACAGCGATGTACAACAGAGCTATCCGAGACATCGAGCAAAGAGCTCTAATGCACGTATTCGGAGCTACACGAATGTCATAGTCGCAAAAGTTGGATCAAGATCATAACAACGGCATTCTAGAAATGGTTGGGACAGCCACAATTGATGTAATATCTGGGTGCCTACGGCGGTGGAAGGTTCAATCAAGACTTCTTGTTACATTAGCCCAAACTGATGTGTACTATGTAAACATTGGAGTGAATCTTTGGATCACTTTGCTTCCGCACTGCCCATGCACTTCTTCTCTTTAGTACCAACTTCTCAATATTTTCAATATCTCTACCTCTCTCCCTGGTCGGATCGAGAGCTATTTTTTAATGAAGCCTTTGCATCTCAATCCAACAACAGTAAAAAAATTATTTGGTGTAATGCCGTTGTGCTATTCTACGGAGTGTATGAGTCGAAAGAAATAACCACCTTTACTCGAACATCTACAAATCTTCCGCCAACCTCCGGAAAGATATCAAAGTCTCCGTCTCATCATGGTCTTCAAAATCTTCCCCTTTTTTGAAATATGATATTTTTACTATTTAGCTAAATTGGAACGCTTTCGCTTAGCCTCCTTTTTTTTTTTCTTTTTCTTTACGTACCTCTTTAATGAAATAGTTTATTTTCTTTAACTTAATTATAACATAAATTTATATGTTATTTGATAGGATAAAGAGATTATAAGTTAAATCCTTCTAGTAAAGGTTGTTTTCTTCATCTACAACTCAGTGAAATTCTCGCTTAGTAATTTTTCTCATACTCTTAAGATTCCATATAAATAACCAAAGTCTTAAAGAATATATTAAGAAGATCAAATTCAGATTTCTGAGTCGGGTAGAATTTTACCATTTTCTATAAGGAACTGTCAAACTTGATGAGAGTATCATTAGTTTGAATCTAATGTTACAAGCACAGCCACTTTTTGGCAGATAAAACTCAACCCAAAACCAAGAAAAAAAAGGGAAGCAAAGAAAAAGAATATGATAAACTCTACAAAAATTCAAAAGATGTTTGAGTTGAGAAAAAAAGTAGGGTTTTCCAATGGGCCATCCCATTGTTCTTTTTTGGAAACAGACGATAGGCTCTTTTGCTTCTCCCAAATCATCCCCTTTTTTATCTTCTCATTATAAACTACTTCTTTTTCTTCTCCCCTTTTAATTCTGCTGCATTGGGTATCTAACTCCTGCGGCTAAAACTCTTTGCTGCTCTATCTGTATGATCACATGCAAATTATACAACCCAAAAAGAAAAAAAAGGAGCCAACTTTAATGAATATTCCTTTCAATTTATAAATTAAAGAAGCTAGCTTTATGAGATTTTATAATATAATCACCTGAAACAGCTCGTGGAGTTTGCTCTTTAAGTAACAATACTCGTGTTCAAGAACTTCCAATGCTCTCAAGCACCTGAAAAAAAACACACACACAAAACCCAGAAATTTAGGTCAAAATCTAGACTTTGTACTTTGCTCTTCTGTCTTGTAGAGTACTGTTCAGAATCTAAAAAAAGAAAAACAAACTTTTAAAATTACATCTAACAGGCTCTAACTCCTACATTCTATGGGACGATATAAGAATGACTACTTTCTCTTAGTCATCTAAATCATGGTTTTATGTAATTATGACATTTTTCTACCCGTTAAATTGAAGTGCTTTCGTTTAGCTTCCATTTGTAGTATATTTCTCACATATCTTTAAAAAAATTGTCTAATACATTTCCGAACTTTCAAAGTTTGTTCTAATTAGTCCACGAACTTTTGATTTTATATCTAATAAAAGTCTCTGAACTACAAGGTCGGAGTCCTACCAAACACAAAATTGAAAGACAGGAAGGTGAAAGTTGAGGACTTCTTTTTTATAGTTTAGGAAGTAATTAAGAATAAAATATTGTTTTAAGGTTTAATTTTTACCCAGCACGATTGTTTTGTTCAGAAGCGGCTCGAAAGGCAATGCAGACATTTCTGACTCTGTTGGCTCCTATACTGGAGCTGCTCCCCATCAGCTGATTCAAATGGCTTCCCATTTTCTTGCAGTCAGTCAACTCTCTGTCAACTCTGTCCAATCCAAACAACACCCTAATTAGGTTTCATATAAATTCTTTCATCTGTATATGCATCAAAATTAGAAAAAAAATAAAGGGTCAATTCTTACAATAATGCTCTTAGATTTTTCAATAGCCTCTCAGACTCTTGGAAGTAAATGTTTACAACTTCTGATACAAAGTTTGGAGAGCTCTCATCTTGGAGCTGTTGCAGCTGCAAGAATTGCTCATCCAACACTCCCTACATTAAAACAAAACAATGAATAAGCAAGAATCACTCAAATAACCCAAAATTTTTCATTATTCTCAGTGATTGAAGGAAAACCCTAGAAGAAAATTTACATTTTGCAAGGGAAAGGAAGCAAAAAAAAATAAACATTCCGAAAGATGAATAAATCACCACTCAACTAAAAAACTTAAGTTGATAGGAAGAATTGATATGAAATGAATTACTTGATGGAAGAGTAGGGCGAGCAGACGATTCATGTCGGCTCGTAACCTGTCGGCCCCGAAGCCAAGCATCCACAGAGGCAGACCCGTTTTGGCTGATTCCACAGATTCACAAATTGAATTTTTCCCTTTTTTCTCTCTAAGCCAATAAAAAGTATGACAAAGGTTTGGCCTTTGTTCAATTATTTGCTTCCAAAGTGTTTATTTTCTTTTCTTCGCCTGATTTTGGGGCTGGTATTTAAAGGCCATGGCTAAGGAAGGGGTGGAGGTGCCGGAGCCAATCCTGGTGTTCCACGTGTAGAGTTATTGGGGAATTTATGGGGCTGGCCCGAGGTGAATGTGGGG